TGTTGTCTTGTGCTTCTCTTGTTTCTACGCAGGAAGCAGCAGCAGCAGCAGCAGCAGCAAATGATGAAGATGATATACTGCAGCAGCAGCAGCAACAACCTTTCGTTAGAGCTGCTTCTTGGGCTCCTGCTGCTACTACAAATACATCTGCTGCTGCTGCTGCTGCTGCTCCTCCTGCTGCTCCTAGTTGTCCTGCTGCTGCTGCTGATGATGCTCCTGCTGCAGCACCGTCATGGGCTCATCCTCCTGCTGCTGCTGCTGCTGCTACTCCTGCTGCTTCTCCTGTTTCTGTTGCTGCTGCTGCAGCAGTGCAGTGGGCTGCTACTGCTACAACTGCCCCTTCTGCTGCTGCTAGTTATCCTGCTGCTGCTGCTGCTGCTCCTGCTGCTGCTGCTGCTGCTGCACCTTATCATCCTGCTGCTAATCGTCGTGCTGCTGCTCAAGCAGCAGCAGCACGTTTTGCTGCTGCAAATGAAGTAGCACCAGCAGCAGCACCAGCAGCAGCAGCAGCAGCAGCAGCAGCAGCAGCAGCAGCAACGGAGACAGCAGCAGACACACACACCCATCGATATGAAAGTCGTAGCCGTCTTCGCTGCTGCGACAGCAGCAGCAGCAGCAGCTACAGCAGCAGCAGCAGCAGCAGCAGCAGCACCAGAGGCAACAGAAGCAGGTGCTACTACTGCAGCAGCAGCAACAGCAGCAGCACTTTTGCTGCTGCTGATGCATCTCCTGCTGTATGCGCTTGCTCTGTAGACCCACATACAACGGAGACAGCAGCAGCAGCAGCAGCAGCAGCAGCAGCAGGAGAAGCAGCAGCAGCAGCAGCTGCTGCTGCTGCAGGGGATTGAACTGCTTTGTGCTGCGCTGCTGTAGAGGGAAAGACGCAAAAGGCGCCACAGATCTCTGCATGCAGCAGCAGCAGCAGCAGCAGCAGCAACAGTAGCAGCAGCAGAAGCTGCTGCTGGTGCTGCTAGTGCTGCAGCAGCAGCAGTAGCAGCAGCAGCAGCTTGTGGTGCTCACTGCCGGTAGAAGTTGCTGCTGCACTAAAGGGGCAGCAGCATTGAGGCAGCAGCAGCACCAGCAGCAGCAGCTGCAGCAGCAACAGCAGCAGCTGCTGCAGCAGCAGTAACTGCAACAGCGGCAGCTGCTGCAGCAGCA